TTTTTAAAACCCTTCCCTCCCTAGTTTTCCTTGTTTCTTTTTATTTTTCCCGCTAGTCTTTTTTTAAATTCTTCCTGTTGTCTTCTTGTTAATTTCCCTTGCAGTTTTCCCCTGCAATCTTCTTTTAATTTTTCCTGCAATTCTTCTGCTAGTCTTCTTGTTAATTTTCCCTTGTTTTCGTTTCCCTTTAAGCTTCTTTTTAATTTTCTTTTCCTTAGTCTTTTTTTTTTTAAATTTCCTGTTTGTTTTCTTTAATCTTTCTTTTTTTTTAAAGTCTTCTCCCTAGTCCCCCCGCAAGTTTTTTCTTGCCCTTCCTTTCTAGTTTTCCCTTTTTTGTTTTTCCTCATCTTCTGTTTGTTTTCCTGCAAATCTTCCGTTTGTCTTCCTGCAAGTCTTCCTGTTTGTCTTCCTGTTTATCTTCTTGAAATCTTCCTGCTGTTTTCCCGGCTTGTTTCCTGTTTGTTTTCCCGCTAGTCTTCCTGTTTGGTTTCCTGCTACCCTTTTTTGCTTGTTTTTCCCTGGGGGGTCTTTTGTTTGTTTTCCCTTTGTCTTCCTGCTTTAGTCTTCCTGCTAGTTTTCCCTGCTAGTTTTTTGTTAACCCTTCCTTTCAAAGTCTTTTGTTTTTTCCCTGCTAGTCTTTTTGTTTCTTCCTGTTAGTTTTTTTTTGTTTCTTTCTGCTAGTTTTCCTGCTAGTTTTCCCTTGAAAACTTCCCTGATTTCTTTTTGGAAATTTTCCCTTGCTAGCTTTGTAGTCTTTTTGGTTAATTTTTTATTTTTCCTAGTCTTTTTTTTAAATTTTATTCCCTGCTAAGTCTTCTTGTTAATTTCCCTGCTAGTCTTTTTTGTTAATTTTCCCTGCAAATTTTCCTTTTAATTTTTCTTTTAATCTTCCTGCTAGTTTCCTTTTGTTTCCCCTTTCTTGTAGTTTCCTTTTTGTCTTTTGAAATTTTTCCTGTTTCTTCCTGGCTATTTTCCTTATTTTAAAAATTTTCTTTGCTAGTTTTCCCTTTCCCCTTTTTAATTCTTGTTTTTTTCCGGTTGTCTTTTTTTTATTTCCTGAGTTTTCCTGTTATTTTCTTTGTCTTCCTGTTTGGTCTTCTTGCTTTTCTCCTGTTGTCTTCCGCTAGTTTTCCCTTTTTTTAGTTTTTCCTGCTAGTTTTTTCCCTGTTTGTCTTCCTGTTGTCTTCCTGCTAGTCTTCCTGCTTTTTTCCCTGTTAGTCTTCCTGCTATCTTTTATTTAAATCCCTGCTAGGCCCGGGCCCGGCTTTTTCTTCCGGCTAGTTTTCCCTGCATCTTCTTTTTTAATTTCTTCCCCCCCTAGCTTTTGAAACCCTTCCCCGCTATCTTCTTGTTAATCTTCCTGCTGTCCCCCTTGAAATTTTTCCGCAAATCTTCCTGCTATTTTCTTGTTAATTTTTCCTCCCTAGTTTTTTCCTTTTTGCTTTTTTTCCTTTTAATTTTTCTGCAGGCTGCAAAACCGAAGTAGTTTTGGAATTTCTTTTTACTCCCACCCCTTTTTTTTAATTTTCCTGTTGTTTTTTTTAATTTTCTTTGGGGGCCCGGTTTTCCTGTGGTTTTGCTTTTTTTTGGGCAGTTTTGGTTTTCGGATTTCCTCCTTTCTTTCCAACCCCCCTTACCCCCTCTTCCCCACCCTTTCACCTTCAAAATTACCCCCTTTTAACCCCCTCTTTTCCCCACCCGGGCACCAACCCTCTACCTTCCGCTTTTCCCCCCCTTTTCTTTTAATTTTCCCTTCCAACCCTTTTAGCCCTTTTAGTTCCCTTTTACCCTTTTTAAACCCTTTTACCCTCTTCCCCTTTAACTTCCTTTTACCCAAACCCTTTAACAGTTTACCACCCTTCCCCTTTTTTCCACCGTTTAACCTTCCTTTAAAAACCCCTCTTTTTTCCTTTTTACCATTTATTTCAACCCCTACCCTCTTACCCCCCTCTTTCCCCCCTCTTACCCCCTTTCCCCCTTCTCTTCCACCCTTTACCACCCTCTTACCCCCCTTTCCCAAACCCCTCATTTCACCCCCCCTCTTTACCTTCTTTACCACCCTCTTACCCCCTCTTACCCCCTCTTACCACCCTCTTAACCCCCTCTTACAACCTTTTTACCACTCTTTTTCCCTTCCTCTTACCCCCCCTTTTACCACATTCTTTCCACCTCTTACCACGTCTTACCCCCGTCTTCCCTTTTCCCCCCCCTTTTTACCCCCCCTTTTTCCCTTTCCTTTTTACCACCCTTTTCCCCTTCCTCTTACCCCCCCTTTTCCCACAGTTTTACCCCATTTACCTTCCTTTTTACCCCCCTTTTCCCTTCGTCTTCCCACCCTCTTTTCCCCCCTTTAAACCCCTTCCCAAATTTCCTTTTACCCCTTTCCCCTTACCACCCTTTAAAAAAAAATTCCCCTTTTTTTCCTCTTACCACCCCCCTTCCCAAACCCCCTTACCACCCTCTTACCCCCCCTCTTTACCACCCTTCCCTTTCCCTCTTACCCCCCTCTTTTTTTCCCCACCCTCTTCCCCCCCACCCTCTTCCCCCCTTTTACCCCCCTCTTACCCCCCAACCCCCCCCCCCCCCACCCCCCAAACCCCCCCCCAACCCCCCCCCAAACCCCCCAAACCCACCCCCCCACCCCCCACCCCCACCCCCCACCCCCCCACCACCCCCCCCCCCCCCCCCCCCCCCCCCCCCCCCCCCCCCCCCCCCCCAACCCCCCAAACCCCCCCCCCCCCACCCCCACCCAACCCCCACCCCCCCCCCCCACCCCCCCCCCCCCCCCCCAAACCCCCCCAACCCCAACCCCCCCCCCCCCCCCCCCCCAAACCCCCCCCCTCAACCCCCCCCCCAACCCCACCCCCCCCCCCCCCCCACCCCCACCCCCACCCCCCCCCTAAAAAATAAAACACCCCCCTCCCACATCAAACCCCCCAAACCCCCCTTTTCCCCACCTCAAACCACCGTCCCCCCTCCCCACCGCTTACTCCCCTTCCCCACCGTTTTTACCCCCCTCTTACCACCGTTTTTTCCCCACCGTCTTCCCCACGTCTTACCACCGTCTTCCCACCTTTCTTCCCCCGTCCTTACCACCGTTTAAACCCCCGTCTTACCCCATTTTACCCCCGCTTACCCCCGTCTTACCACCTTTCTTACCCACCGTCTTACCCCCGTCTTACCACCGTCTTCCCCACCGTCTTCCCAAACCGTTTACCACCCTCTTCCCCACCGTCTTACCACCGTCTTCCACCGTCTTACCACCGTCTTACCACCGCTTTCCACCGCTTACCCCCATTTTACCACCGTCTACCCCCCGTTTACCACCGTCTTACCACCGTTTTACCACCGTTTTTTCCACCACTTACCCCGCTTACCACCGGGTTTTAACCCCCCGTCTTACCCCGTCTTACCCCCGTTTTACCACCGTCTTACCACCCTTACCCCGTCTTACCCCCGTTTTAAACCCCCGTCTTACCCCCGTTTAAACCACCCGTTTTAAACCCCCCGTCTTTACCCCCCGCCTTACCCCCGTCTTACCACCGTTTTTTCCCCGTTTTTTCCACCGTCTTACCCCCGTTTAACCCCCGGGTTTTTTCCCCCCACCGTTTTTACCCACCGTTTTTAACCCCCCCGGGTTCCTTACCCCCTCTTACCACCGTCTTCCCACCGTTTTTTTCCCCCGTTTTTCCCCGTCTTACCACCGCCCTTACCCCGTCTTACCACCGTTTTACCACCGTCTTCCCACCGTTTTACCACCGTTTTTCCCCGTCTTACCCCCGTCTTACCACCGTTTTTCCATCGTCTTCCATCGCCCCCTTACCCCGTCTTACCCCCGTTTTCCCCCCTCTTACCACCGTTTTTCCACCGCTTACCAGGGGGTTTTCCCCCGTCTTACCACCGTTTTTCCAAACCCGTTTACCACCGTTTACCCCCCCCTTACCCCCTTTTTACCACCGTTTTTCCCCCCGCTTACCACCGTTTTACCACCGTCCCCCCGCTTACCACCGTTTTAAACCCACCGTCAAACCCCGTTTACCCCCGTCTTCCCAAACCGTTTTAAACACCTTTTTACCACCGTCTTACCACCGCCCTTACCACCGTCTTACCACCCGTTTTTCCCCACCGTTTTTTCCACCTCTACCCCCGGGTTCTTACCCCCCGTCTTACCCGTTTTTTCCCAAACCCGTCTACCCGTCTTACCCCGGGTCTCCCAAACCGTTTACCACCGTTTTTACCCCCGCCCTTAAACCCCCCTTTTTTTACCACCGTCTTACCACCGTTTTTAAACCACCGTCTTACCCCCCCGTTTTAACCACCCTTTTCCACCGTCCCCCCTTAAAAGTCTTACCACCGTCTTCCCAACCGTTTTTCCAAACCGCCCTTAAACCACCGTCTTACCACCGTCTTACCACCGTCTTACCACCGTCTTACCACCGTCTTACCACCGTCTTACCACCGTCTTACCACCATCTTACCACCGTCTTACTATTAATTCCTAAACTCTAATAAACTCTTGACAAATATTAACGTTAATTTATATTTCTTCTGGAACATTTTTTTTATATTTTTCAGTTTTTTTTTTTTTCATTTATTATTTTATTTGTTTCACTATAATTATTTAATTGCTATTTTTGCAAGTTCAAAAAAGAAATATTTGTATGTTTTAATATATTTAACTCTGTCAATATACTTTATCTTTTATTTCTATTATTAATTATGTTGTGTAAACAGTGGTCTGAATTTCACAAAACTAAATTGTCCAATTCTTACATTAGAACATAGGGAGGAGCACTGCTTCAGGCCTGCTGGCCCAAGTTAGGTGTTCGCTACAGCCACACTGTAAGAACTTGCATTTGTGGGTAGAGTCAGCTGGTCAAGTGGTAAGCACACTGGCCTTTGAGTTTTAGGGCTCACATACCATGGGTTCTAACCCCTTCCATTCCCTAGTTTGTCTGCAATCGTGTTATTAAAATATCTTCCTTTAATCCTGGGTCCAGGACGTACACGGGGCGTATTGCCACTGTAACCGGCGGAAGTGCATCTCAGGAGTGGGAGATGTATGCAGCGACCGTGGCACATGTGAATGCAACAAGTGTCGTTGCAACCCAGGCTTCACGGGCGACCTCTGTCAGTGCAGGGACGACTCCGCCTGCAGGCCCGGAGGTAAGCCAGCAGCCACCACTCTACGCTTATGTGCTGAGAAACTCACTATAAGATGAAATAAGATTTATATACAACTTAATAGGCACGTAATTTCCCCCGTCTTCTAATAACGTGTTCATTTTCCACTATAATCTACCTTGTCCATAATTACTATCGCATTTTCTTTGTCTGTTTCGTGAAGCGAAGTCTAGGATCTTTCTTTAATTCACGGTATAGCTTAACAAATCTTTGAGGACAATTGTGTTGTAGAGGTCTGAGCAAAGCTCAGAGAAAAGAAGTGGTGGTAGTGTTCGGATTTTTACCTGAATGGTTAACCATCCAAGATAATAATTAGGTCACCGAAGGAAGACTTCGATCCCACTGCAAGAAAGTCCTAAAGAAACCTTCCAGGACTGGATTTATTGCCAGATTTCTACTCGTACTAGACTTCATTATGAGGTTTCTTCCAGGGCTCATCTTTATTACAGGTTTTTTCTAGGACTGATCTTTATTACCGGGTTCCTTCTAGGATTGGACTTTATTACGAGGTTACTTCCAGGACTGATCCTTATTATCAGATTTCTTCCAGGACTAGACTTTATTACGAGGTTTTTTCCAGGACTGGACTTTATTATAAGAACATAAGAACATAAGAACGAAGGAACACTGCAGAAGGCCTACTGGCCCATGCGAGGCAGGTCCAAGTCTCCTACCGGCTTAAGCCAATGCACCCAACCTAGTCAGGTCAGGTCACATTGACTTAAGGGAGGAACACGGCAACCGACCTGGTAGCTCAAGCTTTCAGGTCCAACTCACACCCACCCACACCCACTCATGTATTTATCCAACTATTTTTAAAGCTACAAAACGTTCTGGCCTCTATAACTGTACTCGGGAGTTTGTTCACTCATCCACAACTTTATTACCAAACCAGTACTTTCCTTATCCTTCCTGAATCTGAATTTTTCCAACTTAAAACCATTGCTGCGAGTCCTGTCTAGGCTAGATATTTTTTCAGCACACTATTTACATCCCCTTTATTTTTTCCGTCTTCCATTTATACACCTCAATCATATCCCCCAAATTCTACGTCTTTCTAGAGAGTGCAGTTTTCAGGGCCCTTAGTCTATCCTCTGGGGGAAGGTTTCTGATACATGGGATCAACTTTGTCATCCTCCTTTGTACATTTTCCAGGAATTTTATCCATTCTGTAATACGGTGACCAAAACTGTGCAGCATAATCTAAATGAGGCCTAACCAATGATGTATAGAGTTGAAGAAAACCTGAGGACTCCTATTATTTATGCTTCTTGATATGAAGCCAAGGATTTATTTAGCTTTATTGCGAACACTTATGCACTGTTGTCTTGGTTTCGATTACTGCAACCCAGAACTCCTAAATCTTTTTCGCAATCCGTAATATTAAGATCTACTTATTTAGTTTATTTTGTGGCATGGTTATTGTCCTGTCCAACATTTTAGAACTTTGCATTTGTCTATATTAACTGCATCTCCCACTTCTCCGACCACTGCATCAGTCTATTCAAATTTTCCCTGGAGTGCTCGAATGCCCTCGTCAGAATGAATTCGACGGCCTTTTTTGGGTGTGTCATCGGAAAAACTTGCCGATGTCGCTTTTATGCCCTCATCTATGTCGTTTATGTAGATTGTGAACAGCAGGGGGCCAACACTGACCCTGTGGAAAAACACCGCTCGTGACACTTCCCCACTCTGTTTTTCTCCCATTTATGCAAACTCTCTGCTGCCTATTTGTCAACCATGCCTCTATCCAGGAAAAAAATTTCTCCTCTATTCCATGTGCTTTAATTTTCCTCAATAGTCTCTGATGTGGGACCCTGTCAAAAGCCTTACTGAAGTCCATATTACACATATCATATTCATTACCTTTGATCTACCCCCTCAAATACCTTAGTGAAAAAAGTTAATAAATTCGTAAGGCAGGAACGCCCCTTTGTAAAACCATGCTAAAGATTCGTTGATTAATTTATGCTTTTCAAGGGGCTACGAACTGCCTCGGCAATTATTGATTCCAAAAATTTTTTCCCACTATGGGGGTTTTAGGTTATTGGTCTATAGTTCGAAGCTAAGGACCTGTCACCTGTTTTGAAAGTAGGTATCACATTTGCCATTTCCCACTTATCTGGCACCATGCCAGTTTGTAGTGATATGTTGAAAAAATTAGCCAAAGGTGTGCTAAGCTCCTCTTTACATTCCTTTAGAACCCTTGCATTACAGTTCTCAGGGCCCGGGGATTTGTTAGGTTTTTTAAATTTTTCTATTTGCCTAAGGACCAGTCACTTGTGACCCTAATCGTGCACAGTTTATTATCGTCCTGTTCTACATAATTTATCATTACTGGAATATCGCTGGTATCCTCCTGTGTAAAAACTGAAGGAAGTATGTGTTAAAATTCTACACATTTTCCCTTTTCACTGTCGTGAGCTGACCCGAGGAACTTTGAGTGGGCCTATCTTGTCCCTGATCTTACTTCTGTATACCTGAAAGAATCCTTTTGGGTTGTCTTCGATTCTCTTGCAACTTTAACCTCATAATCTCTTTTTGCTTTTCTAATTCCCTTTTTTATTTCTCTCTTTAACTGAATTTTATCGATTTCTTAATTGCCCCTCTCCCCTTTTGATTTGCCTATATATGCCTCTCTTTTGACCAATCAGATATTTTAATCTATTGGGTTTATCCATTTAGGATCATTTTTGTTTGATCTGATTTCCCTATTTGGAACATTTAAATTTTACTGAGCAGCTAGAACTATTGCCCTGGAAAGCATTTATATCGGCAACCATCACCACCTACCTGACCCCTTTGTCAGGTATTCCAGTTCAGCCCACCTAAGTAATTTTTCAGTCCCATGAATCAAACCAAGGCGAAAGTCAGGGACGGAGGACTGATTGCCATTATTAGGGGGAATTCCATGATATATTAAAACTGAGTGATTTGTGGTCACTTTCCCCAAAACTCATCATTAACCTCAAGATTATTAATTAGTGTTTCCCTACTGGCAAGAACCAAGTCAAGGAGGTTATTTCCCCTAGTTGGCTCTGTCACAAACTGTTTTAAAAAACAATCCTGGATCATATCAAGAAAGTCACCTGACTCTAAATTTCCTGTCAAATTGCTCCAGTCAATCTGTCTATAGTTGAAATCTCCCATTAGCACAACATTTTCGTATGTAGATGCCTTACGAATTTCGTCCCATAGAAGTTTACTGCACTCCCTATCAAGATTTGGGGCCCTGTAAATCAGGGTTTCTTCCAGGACTGGACTTTATAATCAGGTTTCTTTCAAAACTAGACTTTACTGCTACGTTTTTTTCAGGAGTGGACTTTAATGTGACTTCCTGAAGTGGCTTTCACACTACTGGTCACCTGTTATGCCATCCTTCGTTCACTAATCTCTTTTTTCTTCTTCAACTTCTCGTTTTTATTTCGCTTATAACACGAGAATGCCTCACCCGATAGGCTTCAGCTTTTCGACGCTGGTGTATGGTATTTAGGGCAAGATTCTAGGATCAATTGGCATGTGCAGGTTCCCTATGATAAAAGTTACTGAACCCATTCTCAGCATCCTAGAATTATTCCAATAACTTCTAAAACACTCTGCGACATTGCTACAGCCATTCAAGTCTACTGACTCACGAAATCGTAATAACACGACTATAAACAAACCAGGGAATGGGAAGGGTTTGAACCCATGGCAAGTGAGTAGTAAACTCCAGGCCAGTGCGTTAACCACTGGGCCAGCTGGCTACAATAGGATACATCCAACTGGGTATAGAGGCTAGCATGGGCCCCACTGTGACCACAAATGTACCGACCTGGAGTTGTACGAGTCACTCGCTGTGGGTTCAAACTCCACCCGGTTCATGGTTTGTTTAGAAAAGGTGTAGTCGCATATTTACCAGTTTGATATGCAAAATTTTTAGTTCTGTTTAATCACGTTAAATATAATTGACTCTACTTCTTCTGAACGACTTCGATATTTAATGGCTGATGTCTCTTAGGGTCAGAGTAATGTTAAATCTAGTTTGCATGCAGGAAAATTTGTCTGTATACTGAACTCGTTGTAGAACTTGTAATTATAGGAACACGTGTGATACCTGTGAGTTTGAGAGTAGGCCCCGCTTAACAGCGTTTCGCTAATGCAGCGGTTTCCAGTTATTCTCATTCTTTATTTATTCAGACTTCCTATAATAAATACAATCACCACTCACTATAAGCTAAGGACGAAAATATTTTAAAGTAATGTAAGAATGAGTTTAATTCACTTTACATAGATTTTTCGCTTTACAGCGGTAGCCCCGAACTTAGCCTGCTGTATAAGCGGGGTCCAGAAACCTAACCTGCTGTATAAGCAGGACCAAGGAACCTAACCTGCTGTATAAGTGGGGCCCAGGAATCTAGCCTGCTTTACAAGCGGGCCCTTACGTATACAATACCGAGAATTTAATAAGACACATGTGCAACAGTTAGGTAACTTTATTCCGATATGTTCACCTACACAGTCAGCTTCTTAACAAAAAACCGATCAGAGGGACCGATGCCGCGGGGGCGTTGACCACCGAACCTCTCCAGGTATACTCTCTAGAAGAATACAGTAGGCTAGCGAAGCAGTTATAGATGTAAAAAAGACGATGTAATCAAATCTGGTTACCTCGTAAACGTAGTTATGAGGTGGTCAGTCCCTAATAACCTGGAGAGTTCTGCTTCATCTGTTTTGAACAATGTTCCAACTGAAAAATGAAGATCGTATATAAAAAAAATTGATTAAATCGTAGATGAGCAATCGATGTTGAGTTTTCTGGAGGACGGATTAGGTGATTACATCACACACCAGGATGGCATTTACTCGGATATTCGGACAACAAAATTTTTTTTTTTTTGCTGTCAAGTAGTAAGGGTGGCAACTGCAAGAAGTGGGAAAATAGACAACTGGTAGCGTTAGAATCCTTCTAAATATAACATTTTCACCCATGGCTGGGCTTTCTAGTACCATTAGGACAAAGCATTTAATTTCAAATTATTTTAATCTTATCCCTGGGATTTAATTATAGTAAAGTTACTCTTAGAAAATAATAAAGTGTATGAAAGCATCAAAACCCGTGACGGTAATAATGTGAAGTATAATAAAATAGAGCTGCAATTTTTTAATAATGTCTCGGTTTGACCTATAATTCCGATTGTGTTTAATACTTATAAGTGTGTGTCAACAGGTGCGCAGGAGGTGTGCTCTGGCCACGGTGCGTGTGACTGTGGCAAGTGTAAGTGTAATCAGCAGCAGGGAATTAGCTACACTGGCCAGTACTGTGAGGATTGTCCGGTGAGTAAACCTCTTCCCCAGCAGGCAGGATACCCTGGGGTACACACCTGTCTCAGGATACCCTGGGGTATACACCTGTCTCAGGATACCCTGGGGTACACACCTGTCTCAGGATACCCTGGGGTACACACCTGTCTCAGGATACCCTGGGGTACACACCTGTCTCAGGATACCCTGGGGTACACACCTGTCTCAGGATACCCTGGGGTACACACCTGTCTCAGGATACCCTGGGGTACACACTGGCTCAGGATACCCTGGGAGTAAACACCTGTCTGGCAGGATTACCCTGGGGTACACAACTGTTCTCAGGATACCTGGGGTACACACCTGTCTCAGGTATACCATAGGGGTACTAGCACTGTCTCATGGGAGACCCTGGGGTAAACACCTGGGTTCTCAGGATACCATGGGGGATACACACCTGTCGCAGGGATTCCCCTGGGGTACACACCTGTTAGATACCCTGGGGTACACACCTGTCTCAGGATACCCTGGGGTACACACCTGTCTCAGGATACCCTGGGGTACACACCTGTCTCAGGATACCCTGGGGTACACACCTGTCTCAGGATACCCTGGGGTACACACCTGTCTCGCTGTCAAGATAAAGAATGAGACACTTGTGCAAATTTGGGTTTTTTTAAAATAATTTATTGAAGGAAACGTTTGCCAGTCAGATGGTTTCTTAAATCCAATACGGAGACAAACTGTGAAAGATGAGGAGGAGAATGAGGTAATCAGTCCCTCAGCCTAGAAGAAATCGATTGTGCTCGCGTCTATCAATTCTTGAGAAAGTACAGCATATGCTCGGAGAAGCGGTTTATATACTTTTATACAGGAAATTCTTCAACCTGTGCCTAGTCTACAGTCATGACTTACACTTGTGGATTGGTCCAGTGGTGGGTGAATCCGCCTACCGCTGCTTCTAGCAAATGATTTGTAGTGTATAAGTCCTTCTCCGGGTATATATTGTACTTTTCTCAAGACTGATTGATTGAACACATCGACTCTAGGATGAGGAACTGATTACCTCATTCTCATCATTTTCACCGTTTCTCTCTGTACTGAACTGAAGAAGCCGCTGATTGACGAAAAGTTTAATCAATAAAGATTTCCAAATATTGTACAAGGCTCTCATTTTTCAACTCGTCGGTTTTTTAAATCGCTGTATCATCGCTGTCAAGACATGATGAATTAGATTCATGACCAACATCTAGGAATCTTCATTTAAGTTTTCTCAAAGATTTCTCGTGAATGTTAACATCATGCTGTGAGGCAAGAAGAAATTAGTCTCATGAGCCACACGTCAGGAGTCTTCCGGGCTCTGGTTAGCATAAACAAGTGAAAACCTTCCGCTAGTTATAAAGGGACTCGGCAGGATGTAGTGGTCTGAGATTAATAAGAAAACTTACGAACGAAGGAGCACTGCAACAGGCCTACTGGCCCATGCAAGGCAGGTCCAATTCTCCTACCGGATTAAGCCAATGCCTTAACCTAGTCAGGTCAGGTTCACATTCACGTAGAAAGGAGCATGGCATTGCCTAGTAGCACAAAGCTGGTCAGGTCAAACTCACACCCACCCACACCCACTCATGTTATTTATGTAAACATATTTTTAAAACTACACAACGTCTTAGCTTCTATGATGGTACTCGAGAGTTTGTTCCACTCATCAACAATTCTATTACCAAGTCAGTGCTTTCCTAGATTCTACCTGATTTTGACATTTTTCCAATTAAGCATGCTGCAGTCTGTCTAGGCTTGTTATTTTAGCACGATAGATTTACAAGTCCCTTTATTCATTCCTGTTTTCCATTTATACACCTCAATCATATCCCCCCTAATTCTACGCTTTTCTAGAGAGTGCAGATTCAGGGAAGATTTCTGATACATGGGATCAACTTTGTCATCTTCCTTGTACGTTTTCCAGAGCATTTATATCCATTCTGTTATACTGTGACCAAAACTGTGCACCATAATCTAAACGAGGTCTAACCAAGGATATATAGAGTTGAAGAACAACCTGAGGACTTCTATTATTTATACTTCTTGCTAGGAAACCAAGGATTCTGTTAGCTTTATTGCGAACACTTATGCACTGTTGTCTTGGTTTTAGATTACTGCTAACCAGAACTCCTAAATCCTTTTCGTAATCAGTAAAATTAAGATCTACATTATTTAGTTTGTATGTAGCATGGTTATTTTCCTGTCCAACATTTAGAACTTTGCATTTGTCAATATTAAACTGAATCTGCCACTTCTCCGACCAATGCATCAGTCTATTTAAATCATCCTGGAGTGCTCTAATGTCCTCATTAGAATGAATTGGACGGCCTATTTTGGTGTCATCAGCAAATTTGTTTGATGCCTTGGCTAACATATGAGCAATATGGGTTTGAATCCTTCATATGTCGACTCAGAGAAATATGTTTCATTATAATGCAAATATGTTTATATATTAAGGTATTGTTTAAATTCCGTGTACCATAATAGACAAGTGAGTCGTAAAACTCGCAGGTCAGTGTGTTAACCGTTGGGCCAGCTTTGTCTAATAAGATTCGTCTAACTAGGTGGATTTCTTTACGCCTTAGGGAAGTTAGCATGGGCCACAACTGTGACAACAAATGCAGATTTTTACTCCATCCGTTCCGTGGACTGTTTGCAATCGTATTATTGCGATTTCATGAGTCATGATAATAGGCTTGAAGGGACTTGAGCTAGAGTTTGCCACAGCCACGCTGGTGGGAGAGTCATTTGTAAAAACTTGCATTTGTGATCACCATAGTGGCCCATGCTAACTTCCCTGTGGTGTATTTAAATGTACATAGAAAGAAGAACCTTATTACAGCCAGCTGGCCGGGTGGCTTACACACGGGCCTGACATTTTAGGACTCGCCATAGGTTTAAACCCCACTAGTTCCTTGGTTTGTTTACAGTTATGTAATTACGATTTCGTAATAACATAACTGACTCATGAACTGCGGGTCACCTGTATTACAGACATGTTCAGCGGGAAAGTGTTTAGAGTTCCGTGACTGTGTACAGTGCGCACACTTCGACACTGGCAAACTCAAAGGTTCTAAATGTTTATCTTGCCAAACAAGGAACGTCGTCGACTCACTCGAAGGTAAGAGTAACATTTTATTTTTAAAACGTTAAAAACACTTTTCTTTCCCCAGTGTCTCCCGACACTTGTTCTCTCTACCCAGTGGTCTTCCCCACACTTGTCTCTCACCCAAGTGTCTTCCCACATTGTCTCTCATCCAGTGTCTCCTCACACATGTCACTCCCCCAGTGCCTCCTAACATTTTGTCTCTACGCCCCAGTGTCTATACCCCACTACTTGTCTCTCCCCAGTGTCTCCTCACACTGTCTCTCCCCATGATCCTGATCGCACTTGTCTCCTCCCATGTCTCTCCACCACTTTTTCTTTCCCCCAGTGTCTTCCCACACTTTGTCTCTCCATAGTGTCTCCCCACAACTTGTCACTACCCCCAGTGTCTCCCACACTTGTATCTCCCAGTGTCTCCCCACACTTTGTCTCTTCCGCAGTGTCCCTCCGCACACTTGGTCCTCCCCCCAGTGCTCTCCGCACACTTGTTCTCTCTCCATGTCTCCCCACACTTGTCTCTCCCTCAGTGTCTCCCCACACTTGTCTCTCCCTCAGTGTCTCCCCACACTTGTCTCTCCTCAAGTGTCTCCCCACACTTGTCTCTCCCCCCAGTTGTCTTCTCCCACACTTTTCTCTCCACAGTGTCTCCCCACAATTGTGTGAGTGAAGGCTTGTGTATATACCAGCTGCGTGTCTCATAGGATATATTCAGTGATAACCGTTTATATCTCCCCTGGTTTAATATGACTGATAGTTTGTTTATTACTCAGTATATACCCAGATGACTGTGTATTCTCCCATGACATTCCTTATAGTTGTGTATATCACAGCGTATATACGTTTAAGGCTAAGCATCTCTTATGACTAGTATACTGTTGCTGTATACCTCTCAGGGTATATATACTGCTGGCTGTGTACCTCTAAGGGGTTATATTATTATATATATACATATATATATAAATATATAAAATATATAAAATATATATATATATATATAGTAGATATATATATCTATAATTATAAATATATATATACATGCAAACAAGATCACAGTAAACAGGTGATTTTAAAATATGCAAAGACAACCACTTGAAAGAGTATTGAAGTACCAAACGCTTCGTGACTACTGAGTCACGATTGTCAAGGAACTATGTATATTCCCTGACAATGTGAGTAGTCCACGAAAAGCCTTGGAATTTCACTACTCTTCACAGTGGATGTTTGCATATATATAAATATATAGAATATATATATATATATATGATATATAATATATATATATAATATATATAATATATAATATATATATATATATATATATATATAAATATATAAAATATATATATATATATGCAAAACAACCCACTTCTGAAATAATAGAGAATTCCACGCGTTTTTGTTTCGTGACTACCTCACAGTATCACGGAACTATAAAGTAAAGCATCCAGGAAGCTTATAATGGCTGGCCAGCACTCACTATCAGATCCCACAACGGTTAAACACCTGAGACGCGCGCGCCGACCCCAACAGGATAGGTCCTTTGACAACTCACCCACAAACTATACTACCCATGAAAATTTAAAAATTATTTATTTGTCCATTTATTATTAAACATCCCTAATTCTTAATAATTATAATTGGATCTAATTTATTCATATATTGTCAAGAACTGCTTTTTTATGAAACAAGATTCAATTATATTCCTGGACGACCATGGACTTGCTGATACTACTTTTCTCAACTTGTTGAAATCAATTGGATGGTTTAACAATCTCTTACAATGAAATAAATAGAGCATTGGAAACTTGTCCAGATATCTAATGCTATATTTATGTATGTTTTAATCTTAGTTCGAGATTTATACTAAGTAAGACCGTAATAACTTATCGCAAATTTACAAGAATCTTATAGACACATTTAATCCTGCAGCATTTTGGGGGAATTCTTTATCAAAGTTTTTTTACTGTATCAAATTTTGAATAACAACTTAAGAATAAAAGTCTTAAGAAGAGAAGGTATATCAACCAAGTTTTTCATGGAAAGGGAAGAACCAACATATTTTAGTTAATAAGGCTGTTTCCCCTTTATGGTTGAAAAAAAAAAGTATTCTAACAACTAAAAGATTTATCGAATTACATTTCTTGTTATTTCAATCATTACCTATTTCATAAATTTTGGTATACTTCCTCATCTATGAAACTCAGGACAATAATTCGTAAAGCTCTCAAAAAACATTGATGAGAAAACAGACAGTTTTGTAGACTATCCTTGATGCAGAATAATAGTGGGGAGACATAGGAACAGTTATTTGGTAGGTTTTCTGTAAATTATAATTTGAATTCATTCTTACCCTTAATTAATTAAAACATCTAGAAAAGGTAAGAGTTATTTTCTTCAACTCAACAGTAAAGTTTCTGGAATTGGGCTAAGCTATTAATTATCCAGGAAATGGTGTATATCTACAGTTTTTGGGCATAAGACACGAAAATATCATCACATATCTGAACCATTTAGCTCTATTATGGAAGGATTGTGTTAAGCAACCTTGTTTCAAAAAAAAATCCATTATTAGGTTACTAAGACAGTGAAAGGAGATTTCCCATTGGCCATACCAAAATTTCTGAGTGTAAAACTTATCATTAAATACAAATTTTGCATTCAACAATGCAAAGTTTAATAAGTTTAATGATAGTAGGAACTGGCAAAGGTAAATCATAGTTAACGAGTTCTTCATGATAAGAAACTTAATAAATCATCAACAGGAACTTTCGTAAACAAGGAAGTAACATCAAACTAACCATGTTAAAATCATTTAAATCAGTCCAGGGCTTAATTTATCAACCAAGACTATGTTTGTTTTAACATTAAGTTTAGAAATTTTGCCAACTATAGATTCAAAATATCAACAAGCCATTTGGACATAATTTATAATGAAAACTGACCCTATGGAGCTAATAATTGGTCTGACTGGGATTCCCTGGTTTGTGTGTTATTATTAGACCATACATGTAAGGTAAAGATGTATTATGTGAAGTAAATAATTGTTTACTAATTCATCTTTGCTTTCAAGTAGAAGTTTATGTTTTATTGAAATTGCTGTTAACGGTATTCAGGGATTTTCCTAAGTTTATATAGGTTTTCTTTATCATCTAAGAGATTATTCATTTTCTGGTATTCGATTTTCTTTCATAATTACTATACATTTACTTTGGTCTGCTATTAGTAAGGCGCAAATTTTTATTGTAATTAAGTGAATCATAAGACTTAAAGATCTTCTGAGGGCACTGGGATATTTTCTCTATTCTTTTCAGAGTGGTTGTTTCGCATAGTTCTGAAATCACCTGTTTATGTGCTCTTATGCATAATATAATAAATATAAAAATATATAGTATATATATATATATATAGATATATATAAATATAAATATAATAATATATATATATAGATTATATATAGTATATATATATAAATGTATAGATATATATATATATATACCGAGCTGCTGTTGTATCTCTCAGGGTATATACATTGGTGACAGCGTATGTCTCAGGATATAAACTCTGATGTGTACTCTCATGGTAATACATTGCTGGCTGTGCATGTCTCAGGTATATACACGCTGGCTGCGTAACTCTTAGTATATACATTGCAGGCATTTGCATCTCTCATGGTATCAGTAAACTGCTGACTGTGTATCCCTCTGGTGTAAGATTCATTGCTGCTGGTGTACTCTCTAGGTAAAAACACTGCTGGCTGTGTATCTCTCAGGTAATACATTGCTGTCTGTCATTTCTCAGGGGTATGTACCTGCGGCTGTGTATCTCTCATGTATATTCACTGATGCTGTGTATCTATCAGTATATACACTGCTTGGCTGTTCATCTCTCGGGGTTAAACACTGCTGGCTGTGTGCATCTCCAAGTGTATACTCTCCTGCCTGTGTATCTCGTCATGTATATACACGCTGGCAGTGCATCTCTCAGGTATATACTCTGCTGGCTGGGTATCTCTCAGGTAATAAGCTGCTTGAGGCATCTCTCAGGGTAGTTACACTGATGGATATAAATCAACATAGTATGCACATTCACGCTATTTCTCATTGTATCTTAGATGATGGGTGTATAATACACTGGAATGTAATATTCCCAGTGTATATGAAACTAGTATATTTGATATATATACATTCAATGTGTGATATGCACTTCCGCTGGCTCGCTACTGGGTCCCACTCTCTCTCTCTGCTCTAAGAGCTTTATCGTATCTCTTCTTAAGCTATGTATGGATATCCTGCCTCCACTACATCACTCTCTACATTGTACCACTTCCTGACAACTCTGTAACTGAAGAAATACTCTGTAACATCCCTGTGACTCATCTGAGTTTTCAACTTCCAGTTGTTACCCCTTGTTTCTTTGTTGCTGTTTCCCATATCTGAAACATCCTACCCCTCTCCACCTTGACAGTATCCCTCACATTTTTATATGCGTTATCATTCTCCCCCCCCCCCCCCCCCCATCTCTCCTGTCCTCCAGTGTCGTCAGGTCGATTTTTCTTAACCTCTCCTCGTAGGGCATACACCTTAGCTCCGGGACTAGTCTTGTTGCAAACCTTTGCACTTAATCTAATTTCTCGGCGTGCTTAACCAGGTGTGGTTCCTTATTAGTGCAGCATACTCCAAATGTCGTAACGTTATTCTTAGGTTGGCCAGGCGCCAACATGCTGTTACACTTATTAGGTTGCTGTCAGCCTTAGGAGATGTGTTCGGTATTATACTCATCCCAAGATCCTTTCCCTTGAGTGAAATTTGCAGTCTTTGGCCCCCCCTATCCTGTACTCTGTCTGCGGTCTTCTTTGACTTTCCCCAGTGTTCGTAAATTTGCACTTGGTGTTGTTACACTCCAGGAGCCAGTTGTTGGACCAGGCTCGTGGCCTTCCAGGTCCCTTTTGCAGTTCACCGAGACCTCATCAAATATGAATTTCTCCGCAAAAGCTTCACGTTGTCTGCAAACATGAAATATCTGAATACAATCCCTTCTGCCATATCATGAGAAGACCTACTAAACGAACTACCAACACACAAATGATGTAGTTGAAGTTTATGGCATAAAGATTGAAAACCAAAATCGTCTGCAACTTTCCCACCATTCCAGAATAGCTTATGAAAATTGGACCACTGCCAGGAAATCTCCCAACTCCTGCCCATACATTTTGCTACTAGGGGGAATTTCAACTTAAACACCTAAAATAGAGGAGCGTAGCAAAATATTTTGAGCAGAGATCACCCCAGGAGTCATTCAGTGAAAAATTCCTACAACAACACCACATGAGGCTATTAAATCTCTGCACCAAATTCACCTTAAAGCAGCAAATAATAGAGCCTACAAGACTAGAAAATACACTGGACCTCGTCTTCACTAACAACAACGATCTGATACGAAATATAACCGTATTAAAGACAATACACTCAGATAACAAAATAATAGAAGTACAGACATGTATGTACAGGGCTCCTGACCAGTAAAATGTGAGTAGTCATGAGGGTGTCTTCACAAAATTCGACATACAATAGGAACCAGTCAATCATGTCCTACATGAAACAGCTGCAAAGATATCCTAAACAACATGTATCTGGGTATCTTTATTGTAGACGTTTCGCCATCCAGTGGCTTTATCAATACAGATTCTAGGACATAATTTGAAGACAGTAGAACTATATACAACTCCAAGGCTGAGGGACTGATTACCCCAACTCCCCCCCTTTTGTTTTTTTTTATTTTTTTTTTTTTTGTATAAGGTATTTTACTTGTCTTCAAGTTATGTCCTAGAATCTGGATTGATGAAGCCACTGGAAGGCGACGTCTCACCAGAGTAAAATACCCAATGATTTGCACATGTGTCTAACATTTTCAATCTTGTCGGTATTATATACCATTCTTGTACAACATGTATTCGAACCTTTAGCCTAGAAACATTTTTAACGTCTGTGGCACTTGAGGTCTGCTCAAGGCACTTTCCTTAATAATATAAAAAAAGAAAGAGAAGATGAACGTAGAGAGAGACCGGTCCCCTTTACAGGCAAAGATGAAGAATACAACAGAGCTGCTGAGAGAGGCCAGTAATATCTAAATACAAGGGAGGAACTGGTCAGAGAAAGAGCACATATCGAACTTTAAGCTTAAGGATCTTACAGGAAGGATAAACCCTGGGTACACACCTGTTCTCAGATACCCCGGGTACACACCTGTCTCAGGATACCCCGGGTACACAACCTGTCTCAGGATACGACCCTGGGGGTACACACCTGTCCTCAGGAATTACCCTGGGGTACACACCTGTCTCAGGATACCCTGGGGTACACACCTGTCTCAGGATACCCTGGGGTACACACCTGTCTCAGGATACCCTGGGGTACACACCTGTCTCAGGATACCCTGGGGTACACACCTGTCTCAGGATACCCTGGGGTACACACCTGTCTCTGCCTGTCCCAAGATAAAGAATGAGACACTGTGCAAGTATTTGGTATATTTATTGAGGCAACGCTTTGCCAGTATGGTTTATTAAATCGCAATAGGAGACAAACTGTGAAAGATGAGGAGGAGAATGATGTAATCAGTCCTCACTAGAATCGATGTGCTCTTCTATCAATACTGAGAAAAGTACAGAATATCTCGAGAACGGTTTATATACTTTTAACAGAAATTACTTCAACTTGTGCCTAGTCTAAACAGTCATGACTAAAACACTATGGAATTTTGTCCAGTGTGACTCCGCCTCCCGCTGCTTCTACTGGCACGATTGTATGTATAGTCACTTCTCCGGTATATTATTGTACTTTTCTCAAGACTGATGATGGAACACATCGACTCTAGGATGAGGAACTGATTACCTCATTCTCATCATTTTCACCGTTTTTCTCTCTGTACGAACTGAAGACGCCGCTATTGACGAAAAGTTTAATCAATAAAGATTAAGTTCCAAAGATTGACAAGGCTCTCAATTTTCAACTCGTCGTTTTTTAAATCGCTGTATCATTCGCTGTCCAAGACATGATGAAATTAAGATTCCATGACCAACATCTAGATCTTCATTTTAAGTTACTCCTCACAGATTTCTCGTGAATGTTAACATCATGCTGTGAGGCAAGAAGAAATTAGTCTCATGAGCCACACGTCAGGAGTCTTCCGGGCTCTGGTTAGCATAAACAAGTGAAAACCTTCCGCTCAGATATAAAGGGACTCGCTGGTGTAGTGGTCTGAGATAATAAGAACATACGAACGAAGGAGCACTGCAACAGGCCTACTGGCCCATGCAAGGCAGGTCCAATTCTCCTACCGGATTAAGCCAATGCCTTAACCTAGTCAGGTCAGGTCACATTCACTTAAGGAAGGAGCATGGCATCTGACCTAGTAGCACAAGCTGGTCAGGTCAAACTCACACCCACCCACACCCACTCATGTATTTATGTAACATATTTTTAAAACTACACAACGTCTTAGCTTCTATGATGGTACTCGAGAGTTTGTTCCACTCATCAACAATTCTATTACCAAGTCAGTGCTTTCCTAGATTCTACCTGAATTTGAATTTTTCCAACTTAAAGCCATTGCTGCAAGTCCTGTCTAGGCTAGTTATTTTTAGCACGCTATTTACAGTCCCTTTATTCATTCCTGTTTTCCATTTATACACCTCAATCATATCCCCCCTAATTCTACGCTTTCTTAAGAGTGCAGATTCAGGAAGATTTCTGATACTGGGATCACTTTTGTCCATCTTCCTGTACTTTTCCAGAGCATTTATATCCATTCTGTTATACTGTGACCAAAACTGTGCACCATAATCTAAACGAGGTCTAACCAAGGATATATAGAGTTGAAGAACAACCTGAGGACTTCTATTATTTATACATCTTCTAGGAAGCCAAGGATTACATGTTACTTTTTCAATTGCGAACACTTAAAGGCGAACTGTTGTCTTGGTTTTAGTTTTAGTGGCTAGCTGATACCAGACACCACCAAATCCTTCTCGTAATCAAGTAAAATTAAGATCTACATTATTTAGTTTATATGTGCTGGTTATTTTCCTGTCCAACATTTAGAACTTTGCATTTGTCTATATTAAACTGAATCTGCTCTTCTCCGACCAATGCAATCAGTCCATTTAAATCATCCTGTAGTGCTCTAGTGTCCTCATAGAATGAATTGGACGGCTATTTTGTGTCATCAGCAAATTTGTTTTGATGCTTGCTAGCAAATAGGCAAATTGTTTTGAATCCTTCCATAGTCGACTCAGTGAAATTATGTTTTATTTATATGCAAATATGTTTAAATATTAATTTATTTGTTTAAATTCCGTGTACCATAATAGACGCCAGGTGGAGACGAAAAACTCGCAAGGTCATGTGTTAACCGTTGGCCACTCTGTCTATAAGATTCATCAACTAGGGAGTGTATTCTTCTATAGGACGCCATAGGAAGTTTAGCATGGCCACAACTTGACAACAATTCCGATTTTTACTCCATCCCGATCCCGTGGACTGGTTTGCAAAACGTATTATTGGCGAATTCATGAGTCATAATAGGTTTGAAGGACTTGAGCTAGAGTTTGCCACATGCCACGCTGGTGGAGAGTCATGTTAAAAACTTGCATTTGTGAATTCACCATAGTGGCCCATGCTAACTCCCTGTGGTGGTATATAAATGTACATAGAAAGAAGAACCTTATTACTGCCAGCTTGGCCGGGTGTGGCTTACACAACGGGGCCTTGACATTATTAGGACTCGCCAAGGTTTAAACCCACTAGTTCCTTTGGTTTGTTTTACAGTTTTGTTAATTACGATTTCGTAATAACAAACTGACTCATGACTGCGGTCACCTGTATTACAGACATGTCACGGAAAGTGTTTAGAGTTCCGTGACTGTGTACAGTGCGCACACTTCGACACTGGCAAACTCAAAGGTTCTAAATGTTTATCTTGCCAAACAAGGAACGTCGTCGACTCACTCGAAGGTAAGAGTAACATTATATTTATGTAAATATTGCAGTAAATACTTGAAGAGTGCTGTTGATTTTCTCTAGTTCATGTTGTACATAGTTAATTTTTTTTTCTAAATACTCGTAATTGCACATTTCATTTTGCTAAGTTTATATACATATATAAATAATGTGAATGATTGTTATGGAATTATTTTAATCCTCGTATAATTGCATAATTATCACCAATAATTCAGCTGCTAATCCTCGTATAATTGCATAATTATCACCAATAATTCAGCTGCTAATCCTCGTGTAATTACATAATTCAGAGAACACCGATATGTAATCTTTCGTCCTTAATACACCACAAAACTCAGTTTTTTACTGTTGAAACAGAGAAAGTGCTTGAGGGTGCTCGTCTCTGTACTTTTGAGGACGAGGAAGGTTGCTACTTCAACTTCACGTACCGCTACGTGGATAGTTCCTCAAGCACGGACTCTCCAAAGTACAAGATCATTCGTGCAGAAGGAGAGACAGTGTCCCTAACCACCCCCGCCATACGTCAGTCTACAGTCTTGGGAAGCTGACACTGTATCAGGGAACCTTTCATTCAAAGTTTTACTCAAAGATGGGATTTATTAATCTTGAAAAGTGTAGACTCTAATAGCTATTATTTACACTGTTACTGCCGACCAGAAATACGCGGGTGGACGCAGATTGAAGGTCTGCGTCCTATCAATGTATTGCTGTGTAATGAACAAGTTAATAACAACCTGTCATTCAATTAACAGCCTCGGTGTAGACGTAATAAAAGCTTCCCTTACACTAGTAATCTATTTCCAGGTGTTGACTTCTACTATTATCTACCCAAGTGAGCAATCTTTATAACCGAACTCCGAGGTACATTAACCTGCAAACCTCCACCACCTTCAAGGATACTTTTAATACCAAACTTCGGAATTAAAGGCAGCTGTGAAAAAGTAAAACAAAGTTGTGAATGGGGATGTAAGACCAGCATGGTAGTAATACCACAGAGAGACTTTATCAGGGTATTATTGCCCGGTGTTAGTAAAGACCAGCATGGTAGTAATACCACTGAGAGACTTTACCAGGGTATTATTGCCCGGTGTTAGTAAAGACCAGCATGTAGAATACCACAGTGAGACATTATCTGGTATAATGCCCGGTGTTAGTAAAGACCAGCATGGTATTAATACCACTGAGAACTTTACCAGGTATTATGGCCCGGTGTTAGTAAAGACCAGCATGGTAGTAATACCACAGAGAGACTTTATCATGGTATTATTGCCCGGTGTTAGTAAAGACCAGCATGGTAGTAATACCACTGAGAGACTTTATCATGGTATTATTGCCCGGTGTTAGTAAAGACTAGCATGGTAGTAATAACCACAGAGAGTACGTTTCTCATGGATTATGCCGGTGTTAGTAAAGACCAGCATGGATAGTAATACCACTGAGAGACTTTACCAGGGTATTATTGCCCCGGTGGTTAGTAAAGGACCACATGTAGTAATACCAACAGAGAAACTTATCATGGTATTATTGCCCGGTGTTAGTAAAGACCAGCATGGTAGTAATACCACAGAGAGACTTTATCATGGTATTATTGCCCGGTGTTAGTAAAGACCAGCATGGTAGTAATACCACTGAGAGACTTTACCAGGGTATTATTGCCCGGTGTTAGTAAAGACCAGCATGGTAGTAATACCACAGAGAGACTTTATCATGGTATTATGCCCGGGTTGTTAGTGAAGACCACAAGTAGTACTACCACAGAGAACTTTATCATTGGTAATTATTGCCCCGGTGGTTAGTAAAGACCCCATGGTATAATACCACTGAGAGACAGTTACGCAGGGTATTATTTGTCCGGTTTTAGTAAAGACAAGCGATGTAGTAATACACTGAGAGACTTACCAGGTATTATTGCCCGTGTTAGTAAAGACCAGCATGGTAGTAATTCCACTGAGGAACTTTACCAGGGTATATTGCCAGGTGATAGTAAAGACCACATGGTATAATTACACTGAGAGACTTTATCATGGTATTAATGCCCAGTTGTTTAGTAAACCAAGCATGGTAGTTAAGACCACTGAGAGATCTTTATCATGAATTATTGCCCGGTGGTTAGTAAAGACTAGCATGGAAAGTAATACCACTGAGATACTTACGGTATAATGCCCGGTGTTAGTAAAGACTAGCAAAGGTAGTAATACCACTGAGAACTTTACCTATGTATTATTGCCCGGGTGTATTAAAGACTAGCAATGGTAGAATACACTGAGAGACCTTTACCAGGGTATAATGCCCGTGTAAAGTAAGACAACATGGTTAGTAATACCACTGAGAGACTTGACCAGGTTAATATTGCCCTGAGTTAGTAAAGACTATCAATGGTAGTAATTTCACCCCCAACTGAAAGACTTGACCAGGGGTGATTATTGCTTCCGGTTTTAGTAAAGACTAGCATGGTTAGTAATACCACTGAGAGACTATACCAGGAGTATTATTGCCCGGTGTTAGTAAGACCAGCAGGGTAGTAATACCACCGAGAAACCTTTCATCATGGTATTATTGCCCGTGTGATTATGTAAAGAACCAGCATGTAGTAATACCACTGAGAGACTTTATCACGTATTATTGCACGGTGTTAGTAAAGACCACCATGGTATAATACCACTGAAACTGAACCAGGGTATTATTTGCCCGGTGTTAGTTAAAGACAGCATGTAGTAATACCACAGAGAGACTTTATCATGGTATTATTGCCCGGTTAGTAAAGACCATCATGAGTAGTATTACCACTGAGAACTTTGACCAGTATTATTGCCCCTGTTAGTAAAGACCAGCATGTAATGTAATACCACAGAGGAGGACTATAACAAGTAATTATACCCGGTGTGTTAGTAAAACCATCATGGTAGAATACCACAGAGAACATTAATCAGGTAATAATGCCCGGTGTTAGTAAAGACCAGCATGGTCGTAATACCACTGAGAGACTTGACCAGGGTATTATTGCCCGGTGTTAGTAAAGACCACATGGTAGTAAATACACACAGAGAGACTTATAATCATTATATTGCCCGGTGTTAGTAAAACCAGCATGTAGTAATACCACTGAGAGACTTGACCAGTTATTATTGCCCGGTGTATATAAGACTAGGCATGGAAATTAATACCACTGAGAGACTTGACCAGGGTATTATTGCCCGGTGTTAGTAAAGACCAGCATGGTAGTAATACCACAGAGAGACTTTATCATGGTATTATTGCCCGGTGTTAGTAAAGACCAGCATGGTAGTAATACCACAGAGAGACTTTACCAGGGTATTATTGCCCTTGTTTAGTAAAGACCAGCAGGTAGTAATACCACTGAGAGACTTTATCATGGTATTATAGCCACGGTGTTAGTATGACCCCATGGTAAAAACCACTGAGAGGACTTTACCAGTATTATTGCCCCGTGTTAGTAAAAGGACCAGCATGGGTAGTAATAACCATTGAGAGACTTTATCACGGTATTATTGCCGGTGATAGTAAAGACCAGTCATGGTAGTAATACCACAGAGAGACTTTTATCACGTATAATTGCCCGTGTTTAGTAAAGACCAAGCATGTAGTAATACCACTGAGAGACTTTAACCACGGTATATTGCCCGGTGTTAGAAAAGACCATCAAGGTAGTAATACCACAGAGAAGACTTTATCACGGTATTATTGCCTCGTGTTTAGTAAGAGACCAGTCATGAGAAATACCACTGGAGACTTAGATCACGGTAATTATTGCCCGGTGTTATATAGACACAGCATGTAGTAATACCACAGAGAGAACCTTTATCACGGTATAATGCCCCGGTGTTAGTAAAGACCAGCAGGTAGTAAATACCACAGAGAGCTTTATTATCATGGTTTTATTGCCCGGTTTTAGTAAAGACCACATGGTCGTAATTACCACAGAGAGACTTTTATCACGGTATTATTGCCGGTGTTAGTAAAGACCAGCATGGAAGTAATATCCACCAGAGAGACTTTATCACGTAGTATTGCCCGGTGTTATAAAGACCAAGCATGGTATATAATACCTACAGAAGAGACTTATCATCACGGTATTATTGCCCGAGTTAGTAAAGACCAGCATGGTAAGTAATACCACAAGAGACTTTATCACGGTATTATTGCCCGTGTAGTACAGACCAGCAAGTTAGTAATACACAGAGAGACTTTATCACGGTATTATTGCCCGGTGTTAGTAAAGACCAGCATGGTAGTAATACCACAGAGAGACTTTATCACGGTATTATTGCCCGGTGTTAGTAAAGACCAGCATGGTAGTAATACCACAGAGAGACTTTATCACGGTATTATTGCCCGGTGTTAGTAAAGACCAGCATGGTAGTAATACCACAGAGAGACTTTAAACACGGATATTGGCCCGGTGTTAGTAAAAGACCAGCATGGTAGTAATACCACAAGAGACTTTATCACACGGAATTATAATGCCCGGTGTTAGTAAAGACCAAGCATGGTAGTAATACCTACTGAAGACTTTACATGGTATTATTGCCCGGTGTTAGTAAAGACCAGCATGGTAGTAATACCACTGAGAGACTTTATCATGGTATTATTGCCCGGTGTTAGTAAAGACCAGCATGGTAGTAATACCACTGAGAGACTTTATCACGGTATTATTGCCCGGTGTTAGTAAGACCACATGGCTATAATACCACTTGAGAGACTTTATCACGGTATTATTGCCCGGTGTTAGTAAAGACCAGCATGGTAGTAATACCACTGAGAGACTTTATCATGGTATTATTGCCCGGTGTTAGTAAAGACCAGCATGGTAGTAATACCACTGAGAGACTTTATCATGGTATTATTGCCCGGTGTTAGTAAAGACCAGCATGGTAGTAATACCACTGAGAGACTTTATCACGGTATTATTGCCCGGTGTTAGTAAAGACCAGCATGGTAGTAATACCACAGAGAGACTTTATCATGGTATTATTGCCCGGTGTTAGTAAAGACCAGCATGGTAGTAATACCACAGAGAGACTTTATCACGGTATTATTGCCCGGTGTTAGTAAAGACCAGCATGGTAGTAATACCACAGAGAGACTTTTATCACGTATTATTTGCCCGGTGTTAGTAAAGACCAGCATGGGTAGTAATACCACAAGAGACCTTTTAACACGGTATTATTGTCCCTGTGTTAGTAAATACGCACATGGAAGTAATACCACAGAAGAAACTTTATCACGGTATTATTGCCCGTGTTACATCCACCACCTTTGGTTACGCCGTTTAAATATAATATTTTAAATACGAAATTATATATTTAAAAAGTTTTTTGGAATAACAGAGAATATATGAATGTTAGTATAATGTCTCTCCGCAACTTGGTCTCTCCCCCTGTGTCTCCCACACTTGTCTCTCACCCAGTGTTTCTTCCCCACACTTGTCTCTCCCCCAGTGGTCTCCCAACATTATGTCCTCTCCCTCAGTGATCAACAGCCCTCCCCCTCCCCCCACACTT